TCACAACCAGGGCACCCCTGATACACAGAGGGGTGGAACCGGCTCTTTGTTTAAAAAGTCAGAGTCTCTCATCCTATGAGCATTACGCAGTAGACAAACGGTGCTTGGGTAGAGCTGGGGAGGAGATTCACCCAGCTCTAACTGCTTTCTGGTCCTCATCCTCATCCTGCTCCCTCTGACGTGTGTTTGCCAGGGTGGCCTTGTGGTTAAACATGAATCAGTCACACCCGTTATCAGCAGCTCACCTCTAAATTTGTGCCTTTAGTAACTAACTGGGTTAAAATTCATTCATTTTTAAGGATAGAGTAACCTGGAAGAACCCTCTGGGTGATGTTATAATAATACACCGTTTTTTACCTTTACTGTTTCACAAAGGGTCAAAAGGTGAATTTAGACTTTTCGAATGCAGGATATTTTATTAAAGCATTTTAGAGCAAAGCAAAAGCCAAATCAAATAATAATAATCACATAATCAAATCACTTGAATTATACTTATCTAATTAATGTACTCTGAACTAATGCTGGTTTCTAATCTTCCTCTTCTGATCTTGAGAAGAGAGAATTTAGAGGAGAGAATGGGCACATCCAGGCCTGAAGATGCACTTATCTCTGTTTGTGTTGATGTACTCCCATAGAAAGGGAGCCTAATACTTGGAAGTTGTATTCCAACGCGGCAGCAAAAAAGCCAATCTTGCTGTATTTTCCAACTGTGAACTCCCAGGGCCGGATCTTTGGATGATGACCTCTTATGCAAAGATCTGGAGGAAGATCAACCCTGAGTGTTCATAGGAGCCACATTTTGTACTGATTTTCCCATATAGACCTCCTCCTCTCTCTCATCCCCTCCTTGATGTCCATGATCATAAGATTTTGACATCTACATCGCCCTATTTTAAATCACACCCTGTTGCTTCTCTCTCTCTCTCTCTCCTTTCACAAACATGATTTAAACTAAAGTTCAAACATTAAAATCACTTCATTACAGTGGTTACATTTTTTTTTATTTTCTGTGTTGTACTCAACATGATCTGTCATTAACTCCATCACATGAATATAGTTTCCTTTATGTCTGATTCAGTTTACATGTTGTTTTACTTCCATTCATGATTTATCAATAGCACAGTCTCAAATGAATATCATGACTCTTTATGATTCAGACATAATTTCTTTTTAACTCAGTAACATAAGAATACTTTTTCTCACTTGTTCTCTTCATGACTCTGTTTGTCAATCACAATATATTCAATATCATTTTATTTTTTAAATTATAAACGTCAAAGTCTGAGATTCTCTGAGATGAGCGTCTCCTTAGTGTGTCACTCACTCCCCCCTCCCATCCTTCTCGCAAACAGCCGAGGTCATCTTTAGCACAAGCAAGCCACTCCATACCTAATCTCAGTGAGAGGCCTGTTATTAGAATCACTTCATTACTCTGATCTTATTCTTTATATCGGTTAAACTCATACGTGGCTATATTCTGATTAGTATAGAGTATGACATATGAGTCTGATTTATAACTATCAGCAAAATCACATGTAAATTATGATTCTGTGTTTATCAGTTGCGCCATGCATCGTATGAATGATGGACTGGAGACACATTTCTTATCTTCCACATTCCTGCAGCCAGTCTCACACACACAGACGCTAATCTGCCAAAGTCGAAGGTGACTCACACCAACGCACACAAATCCAGACATTAGGGTTATTCTCATTACTCAAGCTACATTTCTCATTCTTTATACTAATTTGATTTACACGTGATTTGACTTGAATACGAAGCACATATGGATAAACTCTGTTGAATTTAGGTTGAATTTAAAGTCAATCTCTTTGACATTTGTTTCCAACACAGTCAGGATGCTGTGTAAAATTTTAAAAACAAACAAATACAAAAAAACAAAACAAACAAACAAAAAAAACAGAATCTGGAAAACTATATCTTCATTTTGAATTTGATGCTGGCAGGATGTTTCAAAAACACTGGAACAGGAAAACACACCAGTGCTGGTTCTGGTTCCAGGTGGAGCATTTACCTATTAACTGAATTAATTAGCAACACTGGTGTCACATGTCTTGATTCAAGATCAATAATCCAGGTGAAATCCCAGAAGGCTGATTCAGGCAGTGTTGGGACTAACGCGTTATTAAGTAACGGGTTACAGTAACTACGTTATTATTGTACTAACGAGCACAGTAACTAGTTATTATGGCAAAATCAGGAACGCGTTAATCGTTACTGGGATTTAGATAGGGTCGTTATTCGTTACTCCGTGTGGTGGCTATCGTGGAGCTTCCACAGATTCAGTAACATTAGCAAGTGGTGGAGGCCAGCAGGTGGATGAGGGAAAGGGGATGCAGGAGGAGCAGAGACCCGAGGCGGGTCGCCAGTCTGAGTGTCAGGAGAACTGAACTTCAGGTAAGAAGTTATGACCTGCAGTCTATCTGGGTCAGATATAAACCAAGTTTAGGTGTAGTTTGTTTTCTTTATGCTGACTTTTTCGTACTGCGTGCTAGCTAGCATGACGGGGTTTTATACAGCTGGGTGGGTGCTATGTTACTGATGTTGAACTTTATTTTATTCATAAGGTTAGTTAGTAGAGTTGCGAACCATCCCGTAAAAAACGGAATCGTCTCGTATTCAGAGAAAATATTACGCGTTTTGTATTGAGGTGAAAAGGAACACAGTTTGTCCCGGACTTCAGCTACACAGCAAATCCAGCATGTCCAAATTAACACTGTCGGATTTGATTTCAACACTATTAAAGTGTCTATATGGGTCCACACCAGAGAGTGTTAATTTAACTCTTTTTGGAGAGTTGGTACGTTAACTCTGATTTAGTGTTAAACACCAAATCTGTCTGGAGTTGATAATTTAACACTTGGAGTTTATATATTAACTCTCAAAGAGTATTTTAGTTTAACTACGTAAGAGTTATCTTCTAATTCATTCTAAAAAGCGGGAATTTTACTGTTCTGAACTTCTAGAAATTTCTTTTGGAAAAAAACATTTACTAAAAAGACGCAATGGTTTTTGAAAAACATTTATTCTGAACTGTGCAGCGGTGACGCTAATCAGAAGGCTAGTCCAATTTCCCCAGCCGTTTACTTCCGGCCTACCCGACCTTCTGAGGACCCGGCCCACGTAGACCGTGAAGGCCGGGTCCTCAGGAGGATGCAGCCCATGAAGTTGGACATGACCTTTCTCTCGGCTGAACATGGAACACACTCACACGCACATATACGCACGTACACTGACACAGACCTATACTCACCCCCTCCAAACGCCTTCGAAGCTTATGTCTTCTATGTAGTGAGATGTGCTGATTCAAGTGCTATGTGCTGAGGTGGGGTTTTTTTTCTGTCCTCAAACTGATCTCCCTGTTGGAGCTCAGTCTGGGGGAGTTCTATTTTCTCCGTCTTTCCTCATGTTGTGCATTTTCCATTGTTATACCTCTCTGACCTGTCTTCCCCATGTGATGTTGTAATGTATGTATGGTCGGAAGGGTTGGCTAAGGTCGGCAGCCTTAACCCAACAAATTTCCCACGCGTTGGACTAATAAAGGTTATCGTTATGTTCATGGCAAGAGCAAAAAGGATGGGCGAGTTCGTGCACTGATCAGTGTATTTGGACTTATCCTCCTTTGGGATCCACACCCCCCTCCGCTTGTCTCCACTGTTTTGCTACCTTGCCCCTCCTCCAAATCACTAGTCATTAGCTTTGGACAGTTCTTATAAACTTTGCAAGGTACTCCTCCCCATCAAATTCCTGCTCTGGTGCAGATGGGTTAATCAGGGCTTGACACAGACCAAGATTTTGCTCATATTTCCATTGCCAAGAGTCGTATTTCTTTGATCCATCTGGTAGGATTCTCTTCCACCCCCCGGTAGGTTGACTTGTAGCTTTAGTAGGATCTTCCTCTTGCAAGATGCAACTTGGAATGCCACCCCTTGCTGCCCCTGTGCCGTCTTTCCGAGCTGTCTGCTGTCTTTCCAACTGTCACCAATCTATTCTTGGTGGTCAACCTGGTGGTCACTGGTAATTCCAGAAAACAGCTGATGATACATCATCTGGTGCCCCTGGACAAATCATCAGTGATGTAACCTGGGGTCATTGGGGTTTCGGGTCTTTCAATAATCAGACCCCTTCTCCCAGGCAACCCCAGCTTTTATAAACAAATATCTTATATATCAAGATAATATGTCAAGATAAAAATATCTCGCTGGCATGAAATTATGTATTGTATATGAAATTAGTATATATTCAAAAAAAGAAAGAAAGGAAAAGAAAAAGAATCCTCATTTGTTTCAACATTTAAATTTGAAAAAGGTCCAAACTTTTTTTTTAAAATGTTGAACATTTTAGAGCAGTGTTTTTTTGTTTTTACTTGACTGACACGAGCTGTTACATGCACAAAGGAGGTTTGCAGTGAGTTTTGTTGAAATCTTTAACTTAAAAAGATTAAAGCAGTTTTATTACTGATTGCAATGTTTTGAAAAAGACATTCTGCTCTACTCTCTCATCTTCAACTTGAGTTTAACATACTCCAGTCTAAGGTCAGCTGATCAGTTGCTTGTGGTTGTTCCTAGAAGCAGACTAAAACACAGAGGAGACCAGGCCTTTGCGGTTACCTAAACTTTGAAACAGTCTGCCTTTTTACACTATTACCTCTGCAACACTCAACATTTTTAAAACCCATCTGAAGGCACATCTTACTCCCTAGCTTATGATTGAGTTATTTTTGATTTTGTGTCTTATCTTATATATATATTATTTTTCTTTTCTTTTTTTCTCAGTTTGTACAGCACTTTGGTCAACCTGTGTTGTTTTTAAATTTGCTAACTTGATTTCTGCCCTATTCGATTCTTTTGTAGACTATTCTAGTCTATTCTATAGACTCATTTTGCTCCTGTTTTTCCTTTTTTTAAATTTGTGCACCTAAACGCACCGCTGTGCGCGCTCCTGCGGATTCTCTGCGCGTCCCAGTCATGTGACAACACCTCACCACGCCTGCGCAAAGAAATACAAGATGGCGGAGAGTGCGGAACTGAAGGTAAGGCGCAGCCTGAAATCATTATAAATTTACTCGGTTGCGAAGCGATCGATTGTTGGGTCACACAGTTCTTCAGGGGTTTAAGTCTCATGGGGCAGAGATCCTGTCAGATTTTGTGTTTATTGGGCAAAAACTGCCGGAACTTTATTGAACCCGCGAGCGCCAAAGCTCGCACGAGCATGTTTATGTTGATATTGAGACGCGCTGGTTTGGCTGAACTGACCGTTTTCTTCGGCACACCAGATGCTGGCAGGGCGGTATTCACTTCACAACCAGTCTCTACCTCCTCTTTAACCCCGAAAGAGACGGTTCTTCTCCTCGCGGCAGGGGCAGTTGTCTCCGTGCCGACGCTCGGCTCGTAAATTCGGAGAATATAATGTCGGTTTGCAGGCTTTGACGTGCCGACAGCCTCCAGACTGTCAGTGTGTGTGTGGACATGACAGCGGCTGCGCGCCTGTTGGTTTACGTTAGAAATAAGTCCCCTCCGGATTAATGAGCACTTATTAATAATTAGAAACTGTCGTGCGTGGTGTCCGGGCAGAGGCCGAGTGTGGCCGCGGGCGGAGTAACACTATCCCGCCAGCTCAGTAATACCAGCGACTCCTCCGTACCTGTTGATACACGCACAATAAGACGCACCGCTTCGCCTAACGGTGCTCCTGCAGCTGGTTGCCGTTATATCAGCACCAGGTGCGGCTTCCTCGCCAGGGCATCCGACGCGCACCTTATGCGCTGTATTGCCTTGGCAGCGTGGCAGAGCCCAGTTTGAACATATCTAACAGTTATTGATCAGAGTCTTGGGCTATTTTTAGATCCCTCCCCCCTCCGGTGTGTTTCCACTGCCTGTCCGGGATCTGTGGATCTATACATGCTCCTTTGTGCCAGCTGCTGCTCAGCTGCACTCACTATAATGAACAGGTTTGTAGATACATCCTCTGCCTATATTGAAAACACACGTGTGGTCTTAATATAAAGCTTTGCAGTTCATATTTCAGATATGTATGAATGTGTGTGTGCAGCTCTTTTTTTTTTGAGACACGTGTTTTCTCCACATTTTTATTTTCTTAAGTGCTTGCAGTAGGGCAGCAGCTGCTGTTTATTTTCATTGTCATTTAATCAGCAAATAGTTTTCTAGATCTCCCAGTGGGAAAGAGTGCGAAAGCCTAATCTAAGAAATCACCTGCAAACAGACTGTCTAAAACATAGAGACCCAGGCAGTGAACTGATGATCAGCTTTTTTCTTTAGATTTGCCTTTATGATTACCTGTCAGCCCACAAACATGGCTCTAGCCCTCCTTGTGGATTTTTTTGGATTGTACTTCAAATAAAATTTGAGTTCTAGCACGATGTGATGAGCGTGTTTAGCATCATGTTTGGAACGGGGTAACAGATTTGTGCAATGTTGCACCTGCTGATATGCACGAAAAGAATGGTGAGGATTTCTTGCATTGATCGCTGCTGACTGTTCAGTAATGATGAAATGCTGATGAAACTTCACACCGAGTATTTATAGATTTGCAGCATCATACAGGAGCCATAAAAGGTGCTGAGGAGGATCTGAGAAAGTGATTTATTGGTTACAGTTTCAGGTCTTTGAAAGTGTTAAACTTACAGTGGTCATGCACTTACGATTTCCCGTGGACAGTGTCAGATCAGTGACAACTCAGCTGATCTGTGGTATTCAGAAATTCTAATAAAATTAGAAAAAGGGTTTATGCAGCAATGGCGTTAAAAAAACAACACTTTTTTTTTTTTTTTTTGCCCCCTACTTCTTGAACTGTATGGTTGCTTTTTGTCCTAAGTGTGTGTTTCTAGAGCTCTGCTCAAACAAGTAAGGCAGTGAACTTGTTTGAAATGCTCGACCTGAGCTCAGTGTAACAGCCCAGTATGCTGTTACACTTGGTAAACCTAAAAAAAGGTGCACTTCACCTGTTAAACGAGTAGTTGCTTGCCAAACCTCCTGTGTGAAAGGAAGCGTTTGATCACTTTGAGGGGCTTTAATTGCGTCTTTCTTAGAACATGTTGAGGTAAGAGTGAATCATTCTAGTGCAAATTTCAGAGTGCATTCCTTCCATTCCTGGAGCATTTTAGTCAAATGGCTCGTGAACAAAGAGTTTTCCGAAAGATGCACTTTCTTGCTGAGTAGCGCAGATTCTGCAGTTTTGGAATTTGCTATTAATCCAAAGTATGTCTAAAAAATGAAAAACAATTTTTAAAAAAAGTGAAGCCCGGAGCGATTGTGGCTCAAGAGTTGGCAGTTCGTCTTGTAACCGGAAGGTTGCCGGTTCGAGCCCCGGCTCGGACAGTCTCGGTCGTTGTGTCCTTGGGCAAGACACTTCACCCGTTGCCTACTGGTGATGGCCAGATGGCTCGATATGGCAGCCTCGCTTCTGTCAGTCTGCCCCAGGGCAGCTGTGGCTACAGCTGTAGCTTGCCTCCACCAGTGTGTGAATGTGAGAGTGAATGAATAGTGGAATTGTAAAGTGCTTTGGGTGCCTAGAAAAGTGCTATATAAATGCAATCCATTATTATTATTCTTAATATCGCATCTCAGACCTGTGGCAACTTTTTAACAGCTGCTTTAACGCTGTAAGATTTCAGCACCCATCAAAAATGAATGCAATTAGGCAGAAATTGGGCAAAGGGAAAACAAAAACAATAATAAAGCAGGCATCTCTGCTCCTGGAGCTCCCACACAGCTCTCTGCAGAGCGTGGGCATGCATCATAGACCTGTAATTGGCCAACAAAGCCCAGAGGAGGTGCAGGTTCAGCTCCTTTTCAGGAATTACAGTTTGCTGAAAGGTTACAGAGCCAAAATCATACCCTACCCCTGCCTTAAACAAGTGACATAGACACTGAAAAACACTTTATAAGACGGGTGTGAAAATAGAGTCAGCTCACAGTTGGGGATGATTCACGGTGCACCCATGATAATTTTAACACAGCTAAAAATAAAACCAAACTAATTTTATCTTTATTTATTTATTTGTTTATTTATTTTTCTGTTTAGGCCAAGCTGCAATTCAGATTTGATGACGTTTCAAATCTTTAATTGAAAAGTGGCAAAGCACAAAACGGCTGCTTTTCTAACAGACAGGCATCTATGTTTCATTTTCTGGATTTGAAGTTGTTGTTTTTTTAATTAAGCTTATACGCTTTTCAGCACTTTAAGGCTTCACTTAAACTCATTTTTGCAGGATGATGTGCTGTGATTTGTTTTATGTTTCATTGAGTGATTTTTAGTGTTTATGTCAGAAAGTTCCAGTCGCTCACGGGGATGTGAGCAGATCAGATGAGCTCCAGGACATCACCATTTTAATTCCAGCAGCTCTTTCACACCTGAGATTTTCTTTTTAAGTGTTATTTTAACGAATTGAGGGTCTCTTCTGTTCTTATACACCACGTTGTGGTTTTGTCACTTTGGGTGGCATCAGATAGCTGAGATGTTGTGCACTGGGTTGGCTGGTCCTACTTCTGAGCTTTTTGTGCAAGTGTGGAACTGTCACAGTGTGTGAAAGAAGCGAACGGCATTAATGAAAAGGAAAGCGTGTTAAAATCGGCGCTCTGGCAATCTTTAAGCACAGCTCTCTGCTGTACGAGACGTACCGCTGCAGCAAATGGTTTTCCATCATCGCAGTCGAGCAACAAATGTGAACTTTCTGATGTTTAAAATAAGAATCTGGTTGATAGCCAGTGCTCTAACAGTGTTTGTGAATATTTATTGTCTTTTATTTTTATGCCGGGGAGACAAATATTCATTATTAATGAATAACTGTCACAGCGTCTTTGAATGAGGACAAATTGAGCTGGTTCACAAAAGAAGGGAAATAATCAGATTCTTTTATGAGGGAACTTGAAAAAGAAAGTAATTGGCTTTTTTCCTGTGGAAAAAAATGACCAAAAAAAGAGATTAAAAGTTTTAAATTTATTTCCAAATGAGTCGCTGGTTATTTTTGCTCCTTAATGAGTTAGTGGATCGAGCTGTAACGGCAGCCACAGTTTGGACGTGTCTGCTGGATTGTTTTGAATGTCACCAAATAATGAGAAATATCTATTGCAGTGTTCCTAAATGTCAAGGTGACTTCTTCAGATGAAAACCCACTCCGATTCAGTGTGCTGAAGAAATGCATTTGTTTTGGGTTGCTCTAAGAAACCCCCCCAGAACTGTCATTTTTAGTTCTGCTACACACCCGTGAGCCACAGTATTACAGCTAATCTACAGATGAAGTGCATGTTATAGTTATCATGCACATGCAGCGAACATCTTCGAGTGGACGTGTTGTGTATGGGAGAAATGGGCAGGTGCAAAGACCTGAGGGCCAGCTCGTTATTGCCGTGCGATTGTTTTGGACCCGAAAGGATCCGCAGCTGACGTCTGAGTGCCAGATATCACAGCCACCTTCAGAGGTCTTGTCCAAGCCTTGGCAAAAGACCAACAGCATTAGAGGTGGGACATGCTGTTCTGGCACGTCACTGTATATTGGTTTGCACTGCTGCGCGTTACCTTCAGGAGGCCTCAGGCTGTTTATTATCATACTTTGTGTGGCGAACTGCCGCACGAATCTGCAACGCATCCATCTCTCAGACGCAATCCACGATTGTGAAAGCCTCTGATGTTGCCAGACCCCCC